AAACACATAAACATTATGATATATACATTAAACACTACTATATCCACGAATATATAGCTGAATTATTTTGAAAGAAAAAGAGTAGCTTATGAAGTTTTATAAATTAAACTCACCGTACTGCCGTTTTCAAGGATTGCATGCTGATTGTGGGTCCAGACTGCATATATTTCTTCAAGCCAAAGTCAAAGAGTGTTCTTAGCGTTGTACAAGAACACATCAATGACTCAGTTTGAAGAACATGCAATATAATAGGGGTTCCATTAATATAAAACTTATTATACATCGAAATTAACGGAGTTTCTGAAAAAAAATTGCATGCAATAATCTACACAAAATATGTTAAAATCTTCAATAAACTTACGAGAATAGTTAAAGAATGCTACCGTGAAAAATTCATAACAAAAAAAAACAAACAATACGCGAATAAAAAAATTTAATTTCAATTGTCATAAGTTTACTGAAACTTAATGCAAAAAAACATTTATTCCTTTACAAATACATGAAATACTTACCTCATTCATTCGACGACGGCAGGCAGGGAATACTTAGAAGAGAATAGCTCAGAATAATAGTAGAATAATAGAAATAACAGCCGAATACTAGCTCCTGTACGAGGCGGTCGACCAGCTGACCATTCCTGGCAATTTACCAATCAGCGTATCGATTTTTCACCAACTTCGCTCCAGTGCGAATGTGGTGAAGGACAATTAGAACTCGTAGTCAGCCTAGCGAGGAGCGGAGGTCTCCCGTCCCCCACTGTTCCTGCCCTTATTGTGCCCTATCCAGTCGTTTTCCGACCTCATTCCTGCACAAATGGTATCAGAGGGGGCTACGAATTCAAACCATGTGCAAATCTCCGAAACCACTTTTTCGTGAACAGTGCCTTTAAGCCCATGCATTGGAACTTTGACTATTCGTGTGAGGTTGAAAAATTGTGAGGAGCGGAGGAAAGAAAGCGACGATGGTGAAGAAAATCCCCCCTGTAAGTCATACCGTCCCAGTCAATTAGGGGAAATTGAAGTCACCAGAAATGAGAGTATGTCCTCCCATTCATCGAGGAGCTGATGCAGAAATGTAATGTACTTTGAGAAAACAGCTGAGGGACACGAAGGACTACGGTAGGCGAGTACGAAAGCAGTTTTATCGTAACAAATCTTGAGTCCCAACACTAGTGCTTGTAAAAAATCACCAAAATCTTTTTTCGCAAGGAGATTGTGTGAAAGGTACCTGTGAATAAAGGCAAGTACCCTACCACCGGCCCTGATGCCCACCCCGTCACAGCGGTATACTTCACGTATAGAATTAACGCTCAGTATAGTGTCATGGATAGAATGCGGTTTACACCAGCTCTCAGTAATGAAAACTGCTCGAGGTCCTTGCTCGAGAATGAAATTGAGATCAGCTAGTTAATTGACAATCGAGCGCGCATTAAACACTAGAAACCCCACCTAGGACGAGCCAAGAGGAGCGCGGGAGGTTTCGCCGACAGCGGAAGTATTGTAGGCCGTATTGATCGACTCCGTTTCTTAGTGAGTTGCCGCTGGCGAATATGCAATTCGATCAATTGGTGCGAGCTGAGCTTGTAGGTCATATGCGGTCAACGCAGAGCTCGAGTTGAATGTCAAATTCGTCCCCTTTTGTCGGTTGGGTGAGTAACGGGGGTTCCTTAGTTTATGGAGACGAGATCCCGAACGACATATGTAAGCTTACCTTAGGTCTGATTCAT